CGAATGACTCTGAGCTTTTGAAGTGCAAATATCTCTCACAGGATTCTTCTTTATTGTACTGATTTATTCACTATTTATTCATGTCCTAACTGATTGCCACCAAGTAAGAGCTAGATGGAAAGAAGAAACAGTACACTACACGTAAATATCTATACCGGATGTTGGCCAATTCACGGTTGGTCTGGGATAAGTGTGGGATAAGGTTAGGCCGAATACTGTATGGGTATACTGAATAGGGCCGGCAAAGGACCAATGGCAGCAGAGGGCGGGGCTATCCGGCAGAATATCTTGTTACCGTTTACTCTAGAGCTACCGGAAATAAGCATAAAATGAACATCATAAGCGCGGTAACCCGGGTGAATCAGCAAAACATCGCGTTAAGACGATTAACCTTGCCCACAAAGAACAAAAAGAAAACGACTCAAGTATGAATATTCTCCAAACTCATGCAAAGAATGTTGCGATGGACCAAAAATTTATACTCTTCACGTTAAGTTGTCCCAAGCTTTACGTCTGCTTGATCCTTCCAGCCCGACCAGCCAATGCGCCCCGACGCACCGCTAAACTGCATTTAGCACTGGTATTTTGACGTGTCTAATAAATTAAAAGGATCAGTTCACCTTCTATCTTAAGCCCAGCTTTTAAACACTTATTCCAGCGACAGCTTCTACAGTATTCGCCATTACTGAACGTAAATATCTGGGCCTCAAGAAACAATCTCACCTGCGCAGTAAAGAACAATTTCCATCTCTCGCACAGCGAAACCGGCGATAGATCTGGGTTTGGACGGTGCGCTAAAATAAAATAAAATCAAGCATGGTATGTTTTACCTTGAAAAAGCTTTTGCAGCCCTCGCAGGTTCGGCTACCGTAATGCACTCCGGAAGCTTTCATGCCGCAAACAGCACAGAGACCGTGCTGAAATACGTGGTGCAGGGTTTAGAAGCGTATGAATTTTGACGAGGCCCGTAGCATCTTTGGGATTGTCGAAAGAGTCTCTTGAAATCTACGAATGTCGAAGAAAAAGTATGATATCTCGCAGTGCATGTAATGCATGAAGCAAAATAGATTTCCATGAGATTTGATCTATCCGGTGGTTTACCTTGTTTTTGACCGTGAAAAATTGTATGAGACCTCAGGATTCGAGTCATGCTAGTCAAAACTAGCTCTCTTACCTCCTTTGTCTTTTGCGGTTTGCCTTTGGCGCTTTTCGAGGCGGATGAGGTCGAAGGCACCGAGGTCTTGAAATACACAGCAGTGTTTTCAACCCCGAAGAAAAACGGGTAGTCCGTAAACCATTCTGCTAGTGAATCAACGAGGCTGGGCATGCAGATCCTAAAGCTTCAGGAGGTTTCAAGGGGATATAGCGTACGTATGATTACTGGCAGGCACGGGAGCTTCTTGAAAGTGGTTCATCCTTCTGAGGCTGTCTGTATAACGTCTGTACAGAAACGATCAGCGCTTGTGGGGGTGGTGGTGTTCTGAACAGCAGCAGAGGATGTACATCCGTGTCTGTCTGTCTGATATCCGACGATGCATACCACCGCTGGTGCCTTTGTGTGCACAGCTCGGAAAGACAGGGTCCACGGATAAGTTCAAATCGGGGAGCAGGTTTTTTCCGTTGATACCAAATTTTTTTTTCTGGCGGTCCCGGTTTATTTAATAATCAAATATAAAGTGTTTTCAAATATTTTAATAAATTTGATATTTAATGTGAAACTTCAAAAAAATTGAGAAAAAAGGGAAAAATTTTTGTTTTTCCTGCTTCTCCCCCCAATTCTATATGATTCTCCGATCAAAATTAAATTTTTTAATTCAAGTTTGTGTAGTTTTTATGGTTAAGAATGCTTAAAAACAATTTAGAAACGCATCCGCTATTTACAAAAAAACTTAGACTAGTGCCGAAAAAAATTTGGTAGAGGATGGATCGATACGATTTTTATGCAAATCAGACCGTCTCTGTACTTTTTTACAATTCTGAAAACATTTAATAAGTTTTTTTGAACAGCAACAAACATTTGCTATCTACTGTTCGACCAGCAGAACATCAAGCCCAAGCCACGCCCATAATTGACATTCAAGCGCCTCTCAAAACATTGTTTGCTTAGCGGCTTTAAAAGGGATAGTGGGGCAGGGCTTTTGGATTCTAGATTTGGGATTCAGTGAAATTAACGGAAGCGTCGCCGCTTCGGCGTTTCTCGAATTCGCCTAACCGTACCGAAAAAATCAGAATAGTGGAGTTTGCTGTCGAATCGATGAGCCCGCTACCTGGATTTTTTTAAGCAAAAGTGGTTGTTATGCATCGTCGCTAGAAACCACAAACTATTTTTTTTTTGCATAATGATGAGGCCCTCTGCCCCATTTTTAGTAAACGCAGCGTCGTGTCTCATTTAGCTTCCAGGAATAACATTTCAAGCGACTTTCCGGAAGACGACTTCTTATCTTTTCTTCTTTGCAAAAAAATGTGAACCATAGAGCTTTTTTATTAGTTTGTGCCCAATTCAATTCACAATATTTATTTTTAGTATTATTTCTTCTTTGTCGTGGTCTTGAGTGTCGTCTTGGCGGTCGTGGGCTTGAGTGTTGTTGTCGTCGCCTTGACGGTCGCCACTTTGGTAGTGGTCTTGGTAGTCACGACGGTCGTTGGCTTTGACGTCTAAACACCCACCCTTGTAAATTAAAGTTTTTTGTTGATAATTGGCTATTTTAAATCCACTTTCTTAAACTCCTCACCGTCGTCGTCGCCACACATTGATTGCAATAGTTCGGGCAGTATTGCTTTCGCTGGGCAGCTGTGTAACCGGACGAAGTGCAGAAGCCGTTGGCCACCCAAGTGGCACAACTGAAAGGTTGTGGATTTTGGCGTTAAGGGTTTGTATAGCAGCAAAAACCAAGGAAGTAAAAACCAACTTAGGATCATCAGTTCCGCAGCTAGCCTTCTTCATCGTAGTGGTCGCAGCTGGGGCGGCTGTTACCTTCGCCGTGGTAATTACAACAGTACTGGCGGTGCTGGCTGCGCGGCTTGTGGTAGCCTTTTGGGTCTGTAACGTAGGAGTTGGTTCAGGAGACCGCCTTTAGCTGGCTTACCGAAGTTGCGCCACATTGGCCACAATAGTTCGGGCAGTATTGTTGTCGCTGCGCGGCAGTGTATCCTGATGAGGTGCAGAAACCATTGGATACCCAGACCGCGCAGCTGAACGCTTATAATGTAACTGCTTCGCGATAAGCTGCGATAAAGCCATCCCTGGTCGCATGATGGTGGTCAAAACGAGGATAAACCTACTTTGGATCATCAGTTCCACAACTAGCCGTCGTTGCAGTCGTTGTAGCATTGGCTGCTGTGGCCTGAATTGATAGAAAATTTACAGCGCGTTCAAGTCCTAGTACCTTCGTGGTAGCTCCTGTAACCGTTGTGGCATTAGTTGCAACGGCAGCGGTAGTGCTAGCAGTGGTACTGGCAGTTGTGCTAACCGTCGTACTGGCCGTGGTACTGGCGGTCGCACTAGCAGTCGTACTTGCTGTCGTGCTGGCTGTTGTGCTGGCTGTCGTGCTAATCGTCGTACTGACTGTGGTACTAGCAGTCGTACTTGCTGTCGTACTCACAGTGGTGCTAACTGTCGTACTCGCCGTAGTGGTCACAGTTGTGCTCACTGTCGTACTTTCCGTTGTTGTGCTAGCAGTCGTGGAAACGGTCGTACTCTCCGTTGTGCTAGGCGTTGTACCTCCGTCGTGCTCTCGGTTGTGCCTCGTCGTGCTAGCAGCCGTGCTGGGTGTAGTGCTGACCTTGGTCGTAGCTTTGGTGGTGGTAGCTTTGGTAGCGGTTGTCTTGACGGTGGTCTAGAATGTAGTGAGAGTTTCGAAAGCCTAAAATACCGCCTTTGTCGTAGTAGCACAGGCATTTGTGACGTTGTTGCAGCTCGAGCAGAAGCATTCGTACATGATGCCGCCCTGGATAGAAACATGGGCCAAAGACAATTCACAAACCCCATCCAACTGCTTGCACTGGCCGGCAGCACATTGATCTGCATTGGCACCGCCGGCGGCTGAAAACTAAGGGTTTATCAGATCGAAATATGGCCTACGTCCTTGGCTGCAACCGCTTCCGAAATCTGAAAAATGTTTTTTAATGGAGTTAGCGCACTTTTTAATTTATCGCAAGCCCAAACAAACCGATTAAAGCAAAATAATGCAAGGAAGCCAACGAAAAATCGGAAACGTGACTTACTTCCCGTGCAGTCATCGGCTGAAAACAGTAAAAGTTATTAACTATACCCGAAAATGTGCGTACTTGCCAAAGCAACCTGAATCAGGAAAAGCACCACCAACAGTCGCCTAACCATTGCTAAAATGTAGCCGGAAATTCGGGACCGCCGGCTTAAATCTATGTTCCTTTTTCCGAGCCTATTTTTCGGGCCGTCCAGTTCAACACGTGTTTGGGCAGCCGTTCGAGGTCATTCTGGCCATCGGCTGGGTGCAGCTATAGCTGGGGTTGTACATACATTGAAAATCTTGTTGCAATGGAGTATCGATCGGAGATTAAAGGTTGGAACTCGCAGAGAGCAACGCAGGAGCATTGCGGTTCTTCCGGAGACCCGCAAGGAAATCTTGCAGCGAAAGGCAGCAGCCATAGATAACGTTATGAAGCGCAAGGCTAGTATCTTGTCGGCACTTTTTATAGCGCGCCCTTATGACCGTCCCCCGCTATTCCGCAAGGGCCCCCATTAGGAATTTCGCCCACAATTATTGACTCGTCTTAAGCTAAAATTGTAAACCTTGTTAGAAAGTTAAGCACTTACAAAGCTCAGTAACTAGGTAGTTGCATGAAGTCTTGGCTTTTTTGTGGAAAATTCGGTTCCACTAGCGTAGTGCAAGTATCAACCTGTATTTAAAAAGTTTTTCACGCTATTAGATCGCACTCTAGCGTTTAATTGATTTGTTTTGAGAGGATTTGTAGGATTCGATTTACATGATTTATTAGTCCGAATCAAGCGAGTTCGGTTAGCAGATATTGCACGTCGACGAGCAATATGAGGCGATCTGGGCCTGGGTGTAGGCCGAGTTGGTGCAGAAGCCACTGGCCGCCCAGCTAGCACAGCTGAAAGAAATGATTAATTTACTGCTTATCTATGCTAGTGTAGGGTATCTAAAATCCACTTACTTGGCACTAGCATCGGCCGGGCACGTCTTCTTTGTGGCGGCCTTGGTGGTTGTCTTCGTGGTCGCGACAGTTGTCGTTTTCGTGGTGGCCATGGTCTGAAACGAGGATTAGGACAGACTGAGTGCCATTAGATCAATTCTGGGTTTTTTGGAAGTTCAATGAAGCATTCAGGCTTACCGTCGTCGGTCCACATTGACCGCAGTAATTCGGGCAATACTGCCGACGCTGAGCGGCTGTGTACCCAGATGACGTGCAAAAACCGTTCGCAACCCACGTGGCACAACTGAAGACGCATTTGATTTTTTTCAGTTGGGTGGAGGACATTACACACAACTTACTTAACATCATCCGTCCCGCAGCTCGCTTTTGTTGTAGCGGTGGTGGCAGTGGTGGCGGTTGTCTACAAACCAGATGACTAGTTTTATATTCCTGTACCTTAGTTGCAGCTTTACTCGCAGTGGTGCTGGCCATTGTACTCGCAATCTAAAGGTTTAGATCGACCGAGAAATGTCATATAATAGGTAGCTGATGGAGTTATTGCTTTTCATGGTTAGCTGTAAAACGATCTTCCCCTCACCGTTGTCGCGCCACATTGGCCGCAGTAATTCGGGCAGTATTGTCGTTTCTGTGCGGCAGTGTACCCGGTTGAGGTGCAGAAGCCATTCGATACCCAGACAGCGCAGCTAAAATTTCGAATTCGAAGCATTGATTAGTGCTTACTTTGCATCATCCGTTCCACAGCTCGACGCCGTTGTAGCTGCATTAGCAGTTGTCTGAAAACGGAGGGCTAGGTTGGCGACAATCCATAGTTAGATACCTTGGTGGTCGCCGTAGTGGAGGTACTGGCAGCTGATGTGCTGGCAGTGGTACTAGCGGTGGTACTGACCGTGCTACTGGCTGTGGTACTTGCCGCACTGCTAGCTGTCGTGCTCTCGGTAGTGGTGGCTTTGCTGGTGGTCGTGGTAGCAATCGTCGACTGAAATGGTCGACATTTGAAAATTTGATTTTTTCATACAGTTTTTGTTGTAGCTGTGCAGGTATTCGTATTGTTATCGCAGTTACTGCAGAAGCATTCGTACATGAAGCCACCCTAAAACCAAAATGGATTGAACAGACCGGATTCCGAACTCCGTCAAGTTGTTTGCACTGATTGGTATCGCACTGATCAGCGTTTGAGCCACCGGCAGCTAAAAATCAAAGAATGGCACAAGAATCTTCATACATATACCATTAGCCAGGTCGTAACTTACGTCCGTAGCTGCACCCGCTTCCGAAGTCTGAAAAAACGACCTTATGCCGCCGATCAGTGATAAACAAAATACATAAACATCAAAATAAGGAAAGGTGGAAACAAAACTTACTTCCCGGACAGTCGTCAGCTGAAAATAAAACTTTTCATGAAATCATGTAGCAATTCCCTTACTTGCAAAGGCAACTTGGACGAAAAAAATTACTACCAATAGATACCTAACCATCGCTAAAATGTAGCCGGAAACTGGGAGCCATCGGCTTAAATCCAGTCCCTCTTACGAAGTCATTTTTCGGGTCGTCCTCTTCAACACGTGTTTGTACAGGCTTATGGGGCACGGCTGCCGAAGTTCTGGGTGCGGATGCAGCGGGTGGTGTCCATAAAAAGTCTTGTTGCAACGAAACGTGAACAGATAGAATTTGGATTATGTAAATTATCCAAGATAAGTTTTGCAACTTGGTTTCTATTATTTTCCAAGTTTTCCCTATACGATGTTCCTTAGCCGCTTACGAAACGAATTACTCCACGATTTTTCAGTTCATTTCAACGCCGAAGTTAACACAAGTTTGCAAAGAAACTATGATACCTTGCCTCTTCTAAGGAATTCGGTGACGAAACAGTTCATTTTATCGGCTTAGCGAAATAATAAAATAAAGAAATGGCCTAGCGTAGAGTTGATCAAAAAATTTCCTAAACCCGAGACAATTTTGCATTTTTATATCTTGTTACACTGATCAATCTCGACTCACAAACCTCCGGATCAGTTTCGAAACAACTTCCGCTTTGCAAGGGCCATATTTTGAGGATTTCCCCTTGCAGGGGCAGGGGTTTGTGGGACGTGGCCCGGGTTTTTAAACGCTATTCGCCGCTGCTGCGCAAACACGGGGGTCATGTTCGCTTCAAAATCGCAAATTTATGTTGCCCCAGGTTTACCAGGCGGGAGTTGAATTAAGTATTGATTGACCGCGGTTAGACACTTCGAATCAAAAGGAAATATTATTTTTTTTCGTTTCTTTCACTGGATATGATTTATTAGTCAACTGCCAGCTGTTTCTAGCAAGTTTTGCAAGTCGTCGAGCAATACGAGGCGATTTGAGCGGCAGTGTAGCCCGGGTTGGTGCAGAAGCCGTTGGCTGCCCACGTCACGCAGCTGTAAAAGTATGATGTGATCTTAGAGCCCAAACTTACTTTGCATTGCTGTCAGCGGGGCACACTTTAGCCTTCGCCGTTGTTGGCTTGGCTGTGGTCTTCACGGTTGCTTTCACGGTGACTTTTTTGGTCGTGGGCTTGACTGTTACTTTGGCAGTTGTTTTCTGGAATAAAATTGCTTAAATTGTCAAGAGAGGTTTCTTAAACTGTCTTATTCAAGTCTAGGAATCTACTTACCGTCGTAGCTCCACACTGTCCACAGTAGTTCGGGCAGTATTCGAACTTCTGCGCGGCTGTGTATCCGGTGGAGGTGCAGAAGCCGTTCGAGACCCACGTTGCGCAGCTGGAAATAATCATCTCTGGCTGCCACGCAATAAATGCCTGCCAGCGTGTTAGGTATGGATAGGGAGGCAAACCTCATTAACTGACAAAAACATACTTGGAATTATCAGTGCCGCAGCTAGTTCCGCGCTTGGTTGTGGCAACGGCTTTGGCGGTGGTCTGAAAATCTCCGAAATCACTAGTTACGTGATCGAGGTATAATCCTTTCGTAGAGAGAAGATAATTTAGTTTAACTATTGAATATAAGATTGTTTTTTCAGATTGTTTATCGTTTTTCATAGGTGTCGATTGGCACGGCCCTACCTTAACTGTCACGACAGCTTTCGTCGTCGCGGCAGCAGCTTTTGTTGTGGCCGCTGTGGCGCCAGCCTTTGTTGTGGCGCCAGCAGCTGCTGTCTGAAATCTATATACCTCTTAAGACTCAAATTTCTGAATTCTAAAGTTAGATACCGAAAGCTTAATAAAAATATCAAAATTAATAATTAATGCATGCACATTGATTAGCGTATCTCAAGACTTACAGGCGCAGCAGTCGTCTTGCAGGTGTTGGTATCGGCATCGCAGTTGGAGCAGAAGCATTCGTACAGGAAACCACCCTAAAAACCACATATTTATTTAAAAATTCATCATACCTCGTCAAGATGCCTGCATTCACCCACATCACATTCGTCGCCGTTGGCTCCGCTGGCCGCTGTGATTTTTTATTAGGCTCGCAATTTCGCAGATTTCGTGTAGCTTGTTTTAATTTACAGCGCAGAAAACTTTTAGATATTTGATTAACCTAACTATAATTGAAATAGGTTTGCTTTTCAAGAAAACAAATCTATAAAGTCTCGAAGATCTCGAAATGACTTACGTCCCGAGCTGCAAGTGCCGCCATACACTAAAAATCAAATAATTACAGAAGTAGAAGGTACGCAAAAAGACTTAGGAACAAAAGAACTGAAGGGGGGATGGGGCAGAAGAACGAGTTCGTGTATCACCAACCTGCCGGGCAGTCGTCAGCTGAAAAAAGTAGGATAATCGATAGAATTTACGAACGCCTTACTCGCTAATGCAACCGCGACGAGGGCAAGCAGCGCCAATAGCAGTTTAGCCATTGCCAAATGTGAGCAGAAACCGTCGGGGTTTCCCCTTTATAACTCCAGTTGGGGTGTTCCTTCCTACGTGTCCGTCAAGTATAGTCGAATATTTGTCCAGGTGAGCGCAAGGATGTGTGCATCGGAGTTCGGCGCCAGCCTGATTGACCTTTAAAGGTATGTTTGAAAAAGGGTTTATGGCATCACAGATCTGAAAAGTGGGCGGAATGATTTGTGATCGGTATCGAGTCAATTATAGTTTTCAACCTGACGGTGATAGAGGCAGCCTCTCATAAGCAGTTCCCTAAGTTCCCTACGATGTTCTCAGATTTCAAAAGCTAAAATGGCAGTGGCATGTGCGGCGATGCCCACCTCCTGAATAATCTTTGGGTCAGGCTCATCAGCGCGTACCTATCTAGCGGAGTACCAAAACGATTAAACTATATTTTCCGGATATAACTCTACCAAGCTGAATCGGGGTTAGCGGGCGTAGCCCGCTAACCCCTTTTGGTTTGAGGTACCCCCCCATACGACTCTTTTGGGGTCCTTTTCCGGATTTAAAAAAGAACCAAGCATCGGATCGCAAAACTGAATACACCATCGGAACCGGCGACACTTTTTACATACTATAAGCTTTTAAAAATTGAAAAAGAGTAAAAGTTCGAATTTTAACAGCCGATTTAAATTGCGTTTCGAGGGGGGGGGGTCTGCGTTTGTATGTCTGTATGTACGCAAAACCTTTGTAGTCGTCAAAAAGTGCCTTCCCACCATCCGTTTGGGCTGAAATTTTGCACAGTTATTGGGTGACTGATAATCTCGGACCGCAAGAAGAGTTTTTTTCAAAATAGGCTTTTAAAAAATTTATATTTAATTTTTAAGTTTAGAAGCTAAATTGCGGTCAAAACAATGGTTAGTGATGTCCGTTTGGGCTGAAATTTTGCTCAAATATACATTAGACCATGCTGGAATAAGTAAAGAAGAAATTGCAACGAAAGAATGCTTCTTCTCTGAGATATTATAACTTTAAACCTTCGCCATACGGGGCGCCACCCTCCCCTTTGGCGGCCCCAGTCCCAGGCCAGGGCGGGCGGGTCTAGCTTCCCCAAGCCAGGCCTCCAGTCTCCCCGTTGGCCTAGTGGTTAGCACGCTGTACTGGGAAGACTTGGCTCCCGAGTTCGAACCCCACCCAAAACATGGTTTTTGCCGATTGGCCCCCGTGCATCCTTATGGTTTCTAGTGCCGTCACAAAGCGCCGCAGGCAAATTTTTTTGAAGTTGTGCGTACAAGGGTTCATCTGAATGAGTCTTTCCTTGGCTTATTTTACGATCTTAACAATAAGATTGAGGCAAAAAGGGCTAAATTCTCTCTAAGGCTAAAAGAGTCTTTTAAAAAGGGCTTTTGGTTTTCGCAAAAAGAGACGAATTCTCGTGGCAACAAAAAGAGCTAAATTCCTTTCAAACTCTTAAAAATGCCACAGAATGTGGGTTCAACCAAAAGTTGCTGGAACCTTATTAAAATGGACAGATCTAGTTTCTAGCGGTTTCGGCTTGCAAATAATTTCTGTATTATGATCTATTTGCACTTTCTTGAAATTAATCTGTGGACCTGACCTGTGATCTGGGATGGTACCGAGTTTATTAAGGTTTTAAATAGCCAGCAACTTTTTGTTGTTCCCGCATTCTGTGGCATTTTTAAGAGTTTGAAAGGAATTTAGCTCTTTTTGTTGCCACGAGAATTCGTCTCTTTTTGCGAAAACCAAAATCTCATCTGTAGTCGATGTGGGCGCGTTATGAAGGCGATAGGCCCGCCGGTAATTTCAACGATTCTACAGAGCGCTAAAAGTGCTTTGGAAGAGCTAGAGCTCAAAACCAGAAATCGCCGCGAGGGGGAGGTAGCGATTGAGGGAGCCAGCGATAGAAAGAGTTAGGGTTACCCAAAGAGGCAGAAAATATAAAGAGCCCATCCTCTCTTGGTTTGAACATTCTATGTACGCTTATTACGCCTACTATCACGCTTACAACGGTAATTCCAACAACTGTACAAAGCGCTAAAAGCGTTTTTGAGGAGCTAGCGCTGAAAACCCCAAATTGCGGCGAACGGGAGGGAGCTATGGAGGGAATTGAAGTGGCGTAATTTTTAGATGCCTAAAGCTTGGACCGGGCAGAAAGATACAGTACCCCACAAAGTACTACCGGTTCATTTGTGCGCCCTAGCCCCACTGAATTTCTGTCTTTTGGGTTTTTGTCAACCATTGCTGCGCGTAAGCCAATTTGCAAAAAAGATTTGATAATTCTTTTTGCCCTAGCACCTTTATTATACGTCAGAGCAGAAAGTTCTATCCCCGTTTCGTCACGTCGCAAAAGCCTTCGCACCGAATTTCATTGCTCCAGCTTCTTTCCTTCTCTTCTGCTCGCTTCTCTTCTTTCAGGGTATTCTAGCCATTCCGCGGTGGTTCTTACGGTAAAGTGTTTTTACTCAGGCTGGCGTTTTAGAATGGGACCAAGCTTATCCTGTGCAGAAATTTTTGCTGAATCCTAATCCGTTTTCCAAATTTGCTGCGGACTTTGCGTTAAAAAGTCATTTGAGGTCGAAATTAAGCTGAAAAACGACGTAAATTCGGATGCTGGCCCACTAGTCCCGGCGTGGGTCCAGGCAT